GCCTGCAGAAAAGAGCCTTCAAGGCAAATTGTCTATGGGCAGAGTTTACAACATGAGATTCACTCAGGGATTTGTTTGACTGGTTTGGGGTATAGCTGCAGAGGTGGCCTGGACCTATAAATCCTGTCTCCTGGACCAGTGGCATTGCTTTCTTATCTGCAATTTATGAGAAAATTGAACAGGCTGCACAGGGAAGTGGTTGAGTCACCATCCCTGGAGGTGTTTAAAAGACATGTTGGTGCTTGGGGACGTGGTTTAGTGGTGGACGTGGCAGTGCAGGGTTGGCATTGGACTCGATGATCTTAGAGGTTCTTTCCAACCTAAAGAATTCTATGATTAAACTCTGTTTTAAGGAAGCCCTTGAACTATGGAATGGGGGTTTTCCCTTTCTTTCCTAAGAGAGGAGTGGGTAGGAATTTGGTTTGACTTTGGACAATTTTGTAAAAATGTAAATGAAAATACATTTCATGTTTCTGGATGTGGGACTCAAGACTACCTTCCCCCAAAGAAATGCAGGAGAAATATATTGTGCCTTAGAAACTTTAAACGTTTCTGTATAATTTTCAAAGGTTAAATTGCTTTAATTCAGTGTTGTTGGGCCTTGTTTTTCTTATTTTTCAGCCAGCATTTTCCAGTGCACAGTAGTGACTTTTTTTTTCCTTTCCCCCCTGTTTTTTTGCTCAGTGTAAACAGTTCCTTGCTGTGGTTACGCAGACAAATATAGCAGAGAACTCTTTTCTCGGAGGAGAATCTCCCTGTGCATTTCTTAACCATTTTTGGGAAGAATCGATCCATCTGTGCCTGCGAGAGAAGGAGGCAATGGCTGTAAATTGAAGTGACATCATATATATTACTCTCATTGATCCACTTTTAGATTAGAGCCAGGATAAAAGGAAATGGCATCAGGGAGGAAGTATGCTCATTTAGGCACAGATCCCAGTGTGATAATGGAGTAATAATAGAAATCACGCCACTGTCAATCGGTTGCTGCATTAGTCTGAGGCAGATTTCCCCTCCAAGGAGGCTTTCAATGACTTCATTCAAATGCAGGCAGGAGCAAATGGGATATTCAGCATACCAGCTGGACAACTTTAGTGATTTGTGTCCTGGCTGAGGGGTGCAGTGCAAGTGCTGGGACTGTGGATACTCAGATAGATGTGTCTGTGTCACATTTCATGGCTGTGAAAGGTCAGTAGTCAAATGTTTCAGTGGCGTTTTTTTTCTAGTATAAAGGGTGAATCTGGCATTTATTGCATTTGTTAATGTAGGAATTGATAAATACACTCCTTGACGTGGGTGGTCGTTTGGGGTGTGAGGTTGATGACCTCCGTAGCTGCTGCACCAGACCTTGGAAGAGGAAAGATTTGCTTTCTTTGTGCTTTTTACAGGTTAGGGGTTGTACTCAGAAAATTCATAGGGCTTATTTTCAAAGATTATTTGCAGAAACCCTGTAGAACCTAGTAATGCATTGAGATACCCTTGTAACACAGTGTAACGGCTTAAGTGTCTGGTGTGCTGATATGAATAAAATACAAAGTATGCTTTTCTTACTTCCCAGATACTTAGTGCGCTGTGAACCTCAGCCACAGTAAGCTGTTTCTGCAATAGTCTGAGTTATATTTTCGATTTGGTTACATTTTCTTTAATTCTTTCATCTTGCCTTTTTCAAATGCAGACCTAGTTCTGATATTCCCTGATATAAATTATATAATCTTCAGTTTGTTTTAAGGGTAACAGCTGCGTTATCCAAACTTTAAAAGAACCACATCAGGTAACGGGGGGGAGCAGGGCACAAATGGCTGTTTGGTGGCAGGACAAAGTGAACTCTTTCAAAAGGCTGCAAGGAGAGGTTTTATAGTCTTAAGGGCAGGATAATGTGTACAGTGCTGGGATACAGCTCTGTAGTGGGGAAAATGTTTGATTACCTGGGACGTGACAGAAAACCTCTGGTGTGCTTGGTCGCAGCTTATTAATTTATCTCCTCTTTGTAGTGTCAGTGCTCACAACTGGGGGAGGGGCAGCCCTGGGAAAAGTTTGTGATGTCCATGCAGCAGCCATAGGTTGGGACAGGAACTATCTACTTTACAGTATAAATAGATCCCCTTGCAGCAATCATTGACACAATGAAAATATTTCTTGATCCTGACCACATTTCCTGACTGAAGTGATCTGCTTTAATAATCATGTATATGAACATTTTGATCGAGCACTCTCCAGTGCAGCTCAGAATACGGGGATTTTTTTAAACTTACTTTAAGAGGAACACTGGAATTTTGTGTTTAGGGTGTTATGGTTGTTTTCTGAATGTCTTTAACACGGAAACACACATTGATAAAGTGAAAAAAAAAAGTTTATGCTGCTGTAACTTGCTGTAGCTGTGTTGTGTGCTTTTTTATGTGTGTTAGATATTTCTCAGTGCATTCACAGAATATGAGTTGTAAAGGAAAACAGCTTCACGATACTTGAAAAGAAATTTTTGTTCTGTTCCCTACAGCATTTATGTTTTGGTAGCATGGACCCTTTTGTATTAAAGCATAAGGCAAACAAATGGAAAATTGACCCCAAACAATCCTCCTGGTATGAAGATGAGAAGTAACAGATGGGCAGGACAAATAAGATGGTAGTGGGGAAAACAAAAAATAAGAAGAGTGGGATTTTTGGCAGAAAATTCAAGTGCAATTTTTTTAAGCTTATGTATAACCATTAAAAAGCTGCTCTGGAGATAGTGATATTCATATTGCTTTGTTTGAGGAAAAGAAGAGGATCCCCCCGTGTGCCTGAGAGCGTTGTCCAAACGCTTCTTGAGCTCAGGCAGGTTTGGGTTGGGTTTTGTGGGTTTTTTTTGTTTGTTTGGTTTAGTTTGGGGTTTTTTTTAATTGTTTGTGGGGGGTTTTGTTTGTTTTGTTTGATTGATTGGTTTTTCACTCTGCAGTCTCAAATCTGAACTGGTAAGTGTTTATCCTGTAATTCTGAAAAGTCTCCAGCCATGATGCAGCACTAGGCAGAGGTAAATTAAGGGCATGGCTGCTGCTCTGCTGCTGCTCTTGTTGGCTTCAGTGAGATTCTGTAATGTTTCCCTGAACAATATCTTTCTCTGGCTGAATCTGTACAGCTATTATACTGGAGTTATATTATAAAATAGTGACCCTCAGCTGTTCTGTACCTATGTATTTGAGCAGCTGTTCTATAGTTAAATTAAATGCTGTTCTGCTGTCTTTGTAGTTAGCAGGCAAAGCTTTCTAAATCAAAAGTTACCTTTTCGTGCGTGGCGTTCTGCAATATTTCACATTTTATTAGTGTTCAGAATTAATTCAGTTTCCAAGCAGAGCCACTTCCCAGAAGCTTTCCCTTTTATATTTTTTAGCATGTCTCACCAACCCCCAGGCAGTTGCTGTTGAACTATGTAATAAACGTCCAAGCTGTCATTTTAGTAGTTGTCCTGAAATTGAAATATTCAATATTTTTAAATGTCTGACCATTTTTAACAGTGCCATTTTCTTGTCAGGCTTCAGTATCACTTAGAAAATGTTCCAGTAAGAGCCAGTAAGATGTGAGGGTTTTCTAGTCTTCAAGAATACAACCAACTTGAATAATAAAAAAATGGAAATCAAAATGTGAGGCAGAGCCTTAAAATCCTAGAGATCTCTTTTCCTCTTTGTTCTGATTTAGGTACTAATGCTAAATTACATCAGTCTCAAAGGGAAGAAAATGTGATGTTGCTGTGTTGGTTGTTAGTGGCAATACTTTGCAGGTCAATACTTACCAGAAGATCTGTGGTATCTTCATGGACTTGCTGTCAGAGCTCAGGGATCCAGACTTGCTCAGGCCACATGAACAGCCCTGGCTGTGGGATGTGAGGCATCTCCTGTGGCCAAATTCATCCCTGCTCAGCAGGGATGGGGACATGGGCAGGCAGCAAGGGGGGAGCAGAAATGGTCAGATGTAAAAGCTGGAGGTGGTGTCAAAGTACAGGATGTCTTTTTTCATTAGTCTGTCTTCAGAGCATTAGAAGTGAACAGTGTTGGTTTCTTCTTGTGTGCAAAAGCTTAAACTGACATTCTTCCTTCCTTTCCCCTTTCTCTCTTGGTGCCCTGCAATGATGAATAATGGGGAAAGTTATGGGGCATATAAAAAACTTCTGACTGATCACCTTGAATCCTGAATTTCCAGTAGATTTTTTTCTTGGCAGCTGGTGTGATTTCTCTCTGAGCTCTGTCTGAATTATTTATTTGTTCATCCAATGAGCCTATTAAACAAAGCACTTAAGCACTTGCTACAACAGACTTCTTGTTCTTTTTAGGTTACATTAGGTTCAAGTTGAAAATCATAGGTTCTGGAGTCAGGCAACTAACTATTGTATATATATATATCCACGTGTAGGTAGATATTATTCTCTGTGTGCCACAAACACAATGTTCATGTGTCTTCACTATGTAATGATGAATGACTTGGGGCTCATTGCCCACAAATGTGCCTCAAAATGTGTCATTACAACACTTGTTCTCTGGGTCACTTATTTGTGCTGTGTTTCTTTGTTTGCTGCAAATGTACCCTGCAAATGCTTATATATGAGATAAAAATGCCACTCTAAAAAATTATACATTCATGTGGCTAGTTGATTCCTGAAACTGCACACTGTAGATGATTCTCTTTTTATCTCTTCCAAGCCCAAACAAAATGGAACTACTTAATTTATTAATTCAATAAAAATCTTACTTATTAAGCTATGATTATGTCTCAATAAACATGTTTTAAATCTGACCTAGCCACAGTAACGAAAACCATGACAAACAAGTCTTAACTGTGCCCCAGCACAATCTTTCAGAACACAGACACATAAACCCTGAGGTTTTTCAGAAACCAGCTAGAAGTCCATGTTGTATTTCAAGCACGTGTTGGAAGTGCAGGTTATCACAATCCTGTCCTCTGTGGTTTGTTTCCATTCAATTGCTCAGTCAGTAGAGATCTTCATTCACACATGGCATTTGTTTTTCTCTCAGCTTCTCCCTGACCAGCTGGTCTTACTTCTGGAGTCTCTGTTGGAGGAGAAGACATTGTGTCCTAGAACACTGCAGTGCTTGGAGAGAACATACCAGCTCCGGGAGCAGGATGCTGAGGTGAGTCTCCTCAGAAGAAATCTGCCCAAGGCACACCACTGTTCTATTGCCTGGGAGTGACAGTGTTCTGCTAGGAACCAGGCTCACCCATGTTCTCTTTTCACATGTCTAAATCTGAAATGGGGTGATCTGAACTCCGGTGTTGTTGCATCCTCATGTGCCTTAACACCTTAGTGTGTCTGTGTGTTTTGGGTAGGCCCAGGTGTGTTTGCACACCAAGGCAGCAGAGATGGCCTGGGTGTCCAAACTGTTGTACCTGCACCTCAGGCAGCACATTTGCTCAAGTGTTCCATTTTTCCTGTAGCATGCTGACTGGATAGTAGATCCCGGTCTGTTTTAGTTGTGACATTGTCTCCAAATGTGTCTGTCATGTTCCAAAATTATTATTCCCCATTTTCAGCTCGTATTGTCCCTCTTCCTGTGCTCAGAAGTCTCACTCAGCTCCCCAGAGAGACTGTGGTGTGCTCTGGTTTGGGGCTTGAGTTTAAGGGGGAGTAAGTTCTTTACAGTTGTCTCTAGTAAGTGCAGTGATATGAACATTCCCTGAGGAAAACACTGCTTTATATGATATTGTAAAGGCTGGCATCCCTGCTCCAAAGTGCTCTATATCTCTGTGGGGCAAACCAGTAAATATTAACCACCACATGCAGAGCTGGCTATTTCCTAAACTCCCCTGGTTTTCTCAAGCTGTGAGAGTTCTGAGAGCTGAGGCAGCAAAGCTGTGAAGTCCCCTTGCCTTACAATAAGCCTTTGCTCCAAGTAGACAGTGTGCAGGAGGGGGGGTGAGAAGGTAGAATCAGTCAGGAAAATAAAGGATGTGTAGATACATGTACATAAAAACAAGGGTTAGTTATGAAGTGGCAGATGATCAAACTAATGTGGGAACAAGGTAAACTTAACATTTAATTAAAAACTACCATTAGGGCTGCAGAAAATCAGTGTGCATGACTTACCCTGTTACCATTGGAACTTTATGGCAATAATCAGAATTGAAGGAGAGACCATAGTCTGTCTTGTTACTCTTGTGCTGAAGTTGCTGGGTGGATGCTTGTAAACACCTGGAAATCCAAACATTAACATAAAGATCTATAGAACAGAGGTCTGTCTTTTTCTCAGAGAAAAGAGAAAAAAGGGGCAACATTTCAACTGCTGTTTACTGCACCCTTTTACTTTTTTGTTGATACAGTTTTCCAAATGCTATATTTGGTTTTAATTAGTGCTTGAACCAACATTTCTATTTATAGGTATCAGAATATATTTTAATCACATCTGAATACCAGTGAAATGTCAGTGGTTCTATTGTGGGAAGAGGAATTAATAGGGAGACAGATCAAAGCAATAGCTGTGGTGTTGCTGCTTCATGCCTGTGAATTGTGAGCACCAGGCCACAAGCTTCAGTTTCTCAGGTTTTTTCTTTCTCTCCACATTCATGCTTTCTTTTTTCATTGCAGTGTCGTGTAAAAGTACACAAGCAATCTGACAGAATTTTTTGTTTAAAAAAACCCAAACAAACCCACAAAATTATGGCCTCTATGAAATGAACATAACCTCCGTTTTATTTTACAAGGTGAAACCAAGGGCTTAGCAGACAACTTACTTAGAAGTACAACTAAGATAACATTACCATTAGCATTTTAGCAGTCATCAGACACCAGACACCTGCAGTCCTTTAAAGGGAACGTTGGCCCCCATGGCCACACATACCTGAGGAAGGGACTGTTCCTGCCTCATTCTCCAGTGTGTGCACAGGGCATTTTTTGTTGTCATGACCCAGGGACAAAGAACTGCAGTCCTAGCCTGTTCTTGTCTAAATTTAATTTGTGAAGACACAGATCACTCACAGATCCTTTTGTGTTACTGAAGTTCAAGTGTTCTCAGTAACTAAACATCAGAAATGGATCAATAAAAATAAAACCATAAAAAAAATTGCAGGCAGGCCAATAAAAATAAGAAAACTGTCAGTGTCATAGGGTTTATCCCAGGATTTTTGTAAGTGAGGTTATCAACTGTGTTCTGTCCATTTTTGTATTTTAAAACAAAGTTTGGTCTTAAAATTTGTACATGAAATTTTGTCTGCCTGCTTAGGAGTTGGCAGGTTGTTGCTGGGGGTCCTTCTGTCCTGCACAAGTACAGCATGGGAAGTCTTGGCTCATATTTCTTAAAGTCAGTGGTTTGCCAGCAGCACTGGTTGGTGCTCCCGACCACTGAACAGTGTAAGGGCACATCTTGCTTCAGAAAGAAGAAGAGGGTTTGCAGCAGGTTGTCTAAATCATCTTGATTTCTTCGTAACAGTCAGGAGCAGAGAGAGGTGTGACTTTTAGCCTTTTCCTGGAATGTAAAAGTTTATCTCTTCAAGGACTGTTCAAGGACTCCTGCCCAGGGTCTTCTCAGCAACTCAATGTAGTTCCTGTCCTCTCTCAAATTAGGTCTCACTGCAGATGTGTAGGCTCAGAGCAGGCAGGCAGCCTCTCCCTTCTAAGGCAGACACTGATTTAAATGCTTCAGCTAACAAAAAAACCTTAAACCAAACCAAAAAAGTTAAGTAAGGTATTTCTGGTTCACAGTGCATAACTTCTGAGCCACAAGTGCTGATGGCTTAAATCTGGTCTCAGACTGGTCTACCCCTAGGCTTGGATGCCAAGAGAGGCTTGCAGGGCATCTGCCAAACTGCAGAATTTGTGACTCTCTCATGCTTTTTGCAGTCCACTTCTATAACAAATCATGATTTCATTTTCCATTTACACTCCAAACCTTGGAACATCTGAGAAAACACCAAACTACAACTTTGTTTTCCAGAGATTAAATTCACTGATGTGAGTTATTTGAATTGAGCATATCCAAGATATCTTTGAACATTGTTTTGAAAGCAATGAATGTTTCAAAGTTTAAAGCCATTTTTCCATCTTCTCTCTGTGCCTGGAATCCATTGTGGCTCAGACCTTGTCAGACAAGTGGGAGGCAATTATATGGAGTTTGTCCTCAGTTTTTCCTTCCTGTTCCCTAATTTCTTGCTATGCTGCTTCCCACTACAAGACAAAATAGCTACAGACAGGCTCTACAGACATCTCCATGATGTACCACATCCTGCATCCAAGAGAAGCACTGTAGAAGCTGGCTGCAGTTTGAACATGACAAAGTCCAGCTGTAAGTTCAGCTGTCTGAGGAGAAATGGGACATGTTGTAAAGCAGCAGCTACAGTTGCCATCACACAGCACAGTAGCATAACAGAATTGAAGGTGGGTCTGGGGTTGTTTTTGTTTTGTTTCTATCCACGGTGGCTGTTCTATGCAACTATTTCATTTATTCAATACCCAGGGTCTGGCAGAATGTGGAGACTTGGAAAGTTTTGGGTTGCTGGTATTTGTTCAAATCTGCCTAACCTTGATGACATCTCTTCTGATTTGACTAAGCAAGCTTGTCTCATTTGAGCATAGGCTATTGAAGACTTGCATTTAAATAAAATGGAGTCAGTTGGCTACAAAATACAACACTGCAATATCTGTTAATTGTTAAGTAGAAGAGCCCTGTCATTGTTTCTGCTCTTCATTTGGTCAGATAGGCCTGTAAGGTGTGCATACAGTGTCACGGGATGGCTGAGTGGCCTCCAGAATAGTGAGAAAGTCAAGAGGGAGATCACATAGGCCATAGGAGAAGAACAGTGGGTGAAGCACTTTCAGTCCTATTTAAGGCTTGACAATGTTTCTGCAAGTGTGTTTTACTCGTCACTGAATTATCTAATAATTCAGTAATTCTGTAAAAAATACAGAATGTGGATGGAGCAGAAAGATTTATGGTGTGTTTCCCCAGATTTTTCACTGTAGAGTCAACTTTCCTTTCTTTCCTACTGAAGGTATCGCCTCTTTTAAATAAAATACCTTGCCTGCACAGCATATGGAAAGTTGCTTTGTTGGTTTTCCTTGTCTCAGCAAGTTGACTGAAGTGCTCCTCGCTTATATAATGCTTTCCCTGTGTTCAGGATCATAACGTGGTATATTTTGGGGAGAGAAGAGAGGCTAGAACTGTTTCTGCAGTGCCTGTGAGTGAAATGAGTTAAGATCATAACATGGGCAGTCATGTGGGTGGCACAGAGCCATTCTCACACAACCACTGCATTGTGCAGGGGCTCTGCCTGGGAGGCCAGGGCCATAAAGTGGTGGCATCTTATTTCACTGACAGAAATCCAGTCAGGCTAATGCAAACCATATAAGGTGCTTGGCATCCCAGAAGTGGTGAGAATTCTGTTAGGGCAAAATAACTTTGATTCATTGATCTTTCCTGGCCTGTAGAAAGCTGGCAGGCGTGGAAGTACAAATGGGTTCTGGTCGCTTCCCACCCGATGGCGACTGCCTGGGGCTGAGCACATTCTCAGACTGCACAATTCAGCTGTCCTGGCTGGGGCTGGGCATTGTTTGAAGGCACCCTCATGGAACAGAGCTCTGCAGGCTGCACTGTAGAACTGGGTGGGAAAAGGGAACTGCTGGGGAAGGTTCAGTTCACACTTGCACAAGGTGAGCTTTCCTTTCAGCACAGCCCCTGGGGCAGCCCTGCCCTGGGGCCAGGGCTCAGGAGCAGCCTCCAGCTTTGGAATAAAATTAGTAATGTGTTGCAAATACCTCCACAGGCCTGCCAGTCCTTGACTGGGCTGTGGAGCAGCAGGTAGGCATGATTCAGGTATTGCAACCAAACAGAGAGATCCAGGATGTCACTGCTGGTATGAAACACCAGCTCAGTAGATGAGAAAGGTGACAGCTTGAGCTGATGACCATAGTGCAGGACATTACTTTCTTGTGAATACAGTAATGTGGTTTTGTTTCTGCAAAAGTAAAAATAGTTTCTTGTACTTATTTCGTATTTAAACGTACAGTTTATTGTTGAATTTCAAGTCAAATCAGGAGGAGAGGCCTTATTTTGGATATGACAGTATGTTTTGCAGGACTAACAAAGCTGCTGTGAAAATTTATGAGGAATAAATAAATTTCACCTGCCTTTTCCTTTCTGAG